CCACGGTTCGATCTTCACATTTCATGAGTTAGTATGGTAGATTAATAGGATAAGCGTCGTTGATGAACAGTCAAAAATCGCTAACGTAACTCGTTCGTCCCACTATGCCCTGGGGTTCGCTGCCGAACCCCGCCAGCAGCCGCACAGCGGCTAGTAGTGTAGGTAGATGAACGTTACCCACAAACTGGCAAAGGAACACTGGAAGGACCATTTCTGCCTTGTTAGCCGTCATTGGCCTGATACGGCCATTCCAGTCCTCCTTTTCTTTGCCGGCAATGCTCATCTAGTGACCAATCCTTAAAGGTTTTTATACTGATTGCCGCATTAAAAATCTAGTCTGTGTTCCTGTTCCGTCTCTTTGTCCTCTTTCTGCTTGAAGGATCAAAGCTTCCTTTGTTCTCGTGGAGTCGCTTTGCCACAATTTTCCCCTTTTTCAGGCGGATATGCTCACAGAATCCTACAAGTTTTCTCTAGAAGAGGATGAGCGCATGAAGTGTGTACGGGAGTATCTGGAAGCCTTGAAGCAATTCTTCGACGAAAGCTCTTCATACCTGTCCACTCAAATTAAGACGCTGGCCGATGTTCTTGGTGCGTTGCCCACTTTCTTGCCACTGTCTGATCTATGTTTCAGTAGTACAATTAGATGTTCTGGCACGCTTTGCTAATGCGCGCAGGGTAGCAACAGACCGCATTTGAATAATTTAGTCCCTTGTTCTCTCCCCCTTTTGCATGTTCGCCTAGTTTACGCCCATGTATTCGCATGCGATTTGCAATCGCCTGTAGTCGATTCCAAACTAGCATATTTACGAGTTCTTCCTGGCCTAAAGCACCTGATTTTCATCCCCTCAATACTCAGCCGGCTTAATTCTTTACTTCCAACTTCAAAGACAATTCTTCCTATCCTTCCATCCGCCTTCCTCGCCACCAAAACAATCAGAGCAGACGGCACCCAGGCTCAAGTAGTTCTTATCTCAGCGGCTTACCCTAATAGCAAAACGAGCTCGTTTCGAGCTCGCTAATTCGAAAAATCGAGC